AACAGTGCTCCTGGTGAAGTTTCATGTAAATTATGAGCATATAAATATAGAAAGACAGTTCATTATACCCACATAAATGACTATAAGGGACTCTAGTGTTATCTTAGTTGCTGCCACTCGCCTCACTTTGTTCCTCTTGTGCATTAGTGTACACACTGGGGCCACAGAGTTGGTTTCTCTTCAAAATGAAAAACTGCTTGTTGTTGAAAAAACTTGAAGATAAAGAACATTCAGTTGGCTGCAGAGAAAATAACCTGTGACCTGTAGCTCCAGGACATCACGTCCGTCTGCATGCATCTTCCTCACTGGACCTGCACTGTCTGACTTCTATCTGTTTCCCAAACTGGAATCACATCTGCATGGAGTGAGGAGTGATGATGGAAGTCATGCATGCAGCTGAAGAGTGTCAGGAGGCTCAAGATGTGACCTTGTTTTGTGAAGGGAAACAGCAAACATTGGTCCAAACAAGGGAAGCTTGCGGGTGGACCGAGTGCATTGAAGTTAAAGGAGAATATGTTGACAAAGAGCAGCCTGTCTCCTCTGTTGTTATCCAGTGATGCTGACAACTTTTTGAATAAACCTTTTACCGCTGTGGCTGAATTCACGCTGATCAGACATGAGAGCTGCTAATTGGGGCTCACTGCAACAGCTGGTTAAACATTTAGTTAAAACGTTGACTGCTCTTGGGGGCCCCCTACTGGTGACCGGGGGCCTACGCAGGCTGTGGTGGAGGACAGCTGTAGACCCGAGCAGCAGCAGCAGCAGCAGCAGCAGCAGCCACACCTTCCTGCTCTCAGGTGAGCGTCTACCTGCTCTGTGGGCGGAGCCTCGCCGCCGCTGCTACCTGCTCAGGTGAGCTCTCCGTCAGACAGGTGGCGGCGTCAGGACGGTGCTGTGGTCGGACTGTGCAACATGATCAAGTCTCTGAGTTTGTCGTCGGAGGGCTCGCTGCCGCCGCCGCTGGAGGACGATGTGGACTCGGTGTGTTCGGACGAGCTGCTCGGCTCTCAGTCCCGCCGCTGGCTGGCGGACTGCATGACCGAGGACATGCCTCCGGAGAGCGGGGACTTCTACACGGTGGGCCGGGACGGGCTGTTCGTGGACTACCACTTCCCGCTGGGGGAGCTGGAGATGCAGTCTGGGGTCCGCTGGAAGAGACCAAAGGTACAGATGAGAAGCTTTGACAGCAGCACAGATAGAAACAGAAACTCTGCAGAGTTCAGAAAGCTCCAAGGCTGGAGGCCTCCTGAGTTCTGCTGCTGCTTTGGGTGGATTTAAGTACATGCATTAACCCAATTAATGCGCTTTAATTCAGTTTTAAACTCATGATAGTTTCCTGAAGCCTGTTGTGTGTTTCTGCTCCAACACGTTTCAGAGGCGACTGCTGCACATTTTACCCCTCTGTCCACTTCACAGCCCTTCATGCTGTTTACTGAGCAGAATCTCATCTAATAATCTAGTTATGGATCAGAGTGAACAACATTTCAGTGGAGAATAAGGAACCATATGTGCAAAAACTGCCAAATCAAAGTGAGGACAGCCTGCTTTACGCTCCTGTAATGAACCTGTAAGACTCTGATCCTCACCGCTGAAGGACATGTTCACATCTCCAGCATGACTCTGTCCTGTCCTGATTAAGGAGCGTGTAGGTTTACTGTAAATCTGATGCTGAAAACACTTTTTGGGGGCTTTTTTAAAATATTAAACTGAAGAAACTGTCAGGAAATGAGTGAGAAGAACACCTTAAACTCACTTTAGACACAGGTGTTGTACTTTATTACCATTTTAAAGTAATTATAGTGTATTTACGCCCATTGAATGCTTCGTACTTTTGCTCCACCACACTTCAGAAGTTACAGCTGTTCCTGCTGTTTACTTCCCAGATTACAGCTGTGCTCATCGTATATAATCCAGCTCTGCAGCGTAGGAGAAAAGATGAATAAAATCTGCTTAATCTTGTTAAATCAAACAACATTAACCTTCAAGCAGTAGGATGTTAACTCAATGCCTGTCGGCTGCTTTCGCTTTTGGTATGTCCAGTGTGAGTTTGCTGTGTTTACTTGAGTAAACACAAGATAAGATAAACCTGGAATAACCCACAGCAGGTCAGTTTAACATGGAAATCAGCAGAAAAATATAAAAACAAACAAGACTGAAGCAGTAGAACTTACTGTATGTAGACAGACACTGATATTCTATTGATATTCCTCTACATGTGGGAAAAAAATGTGCTTTAAATGGACAAATGATTCATAACAGGTTTAAATGTGTTTATGTTTCAGCAGAGTGAAACATGATTTTATGTTTGTTATGTGTGATCTGCTGGATATAAAATCTGACAGCAGCAGGAAGCTTGTTCCTGTGAATTAACACGTGTTTTTACAGAGTGACGTTTCTTAATTTGTTATGAGCGCTTCTTTCGACACAGTTTGGTTTACGGTCGTAGTTTATGGGTTTATCTCATGTTCCTGCAGGTGGATGTCTCATCTGCCAAAGAGACTGCAGCTGTCAGATACATTTATCAGTGTAAAAAGTCAAATATTAAGATCGGAAACGACTGGAAATTCTTTCAAATGAATAGAAAGCTGGAAGTGATGCTTTATTTCTGTTAATAAGCCTTTTTGTTGTTGACATGAATCACCAAGCGGAGGCCTGATGAAACAGATATCCCAGAATCTCATAAATACTGTGCTTTTTTGACTCAGTACTGTGAAAAACCACAATGCATGCTTTAAACCACAGCTATAAACATGTAAGATACTAAAACATCCATCGTGGAGTGACATATTTACACCATAGTGATTAAAAACACAACGAGGAGGGTGTGGCTTCACTGAGAGAACACTTTGTTGGGCTGTTTATGCCTTTTTTTTGGACATTAAACAGAAGAAACTGTTGGGAAATAGGACAAAAGAGAGACGGGGGATAAGAAACAACACCTTAAACTAATGGTAGTAAGTTTGTATGATGACACAACAGGAGCAGTGAGAACATTTCAACGTTCCTAACAACCAGTTTGAGCCTCGTGCCAGATGTGAAGCAGCTGTTTTGTGCCCTCGGTGGGTCGACTGCCTCCGTTTGTTTCCTTCGTACGGTTGCAGGGCGTGTTTCAGAGGATTCAGCCAAACAAAGGCTGCAGGACAACAGGAGGGACATAAAGAGCAGGACTCACTGGGATCGGTCCTTTCATTCTGCTGTATCCGGAACATTCTCTGCTCTGTGAATGAATGAGGGCAGGACGAGATAAAAACCTGCTGCCTCTATTTACCCACCGCCCGTGTTGACTGCATACGTCAAACGAAGGCGTTAAATCAGAAGAAATAACCCACTTAAATGTCCACTTCAGTGAGAAACCTCTCCAGAGTCTGTCTCAGAACGTATAAACTTTGACTTTTAGCTTCTTTTTTAGCTCCTTGATGTCACATATGGAGGAAAAACAGCCGTAAAACTGCTGCTGGTTGTCTGTAAACTCACAGATTAATATCTAAACCTGTCTGACGCTAAACAAGGAAACCTTTACAACCATCACACGTGTTATAAAAGCCTTTTATCTGTTGGTTTGTTTCACTTCCCCCAACTGAGCGTCTTCACTGTTGCCTCCATGAAGCGATAAAAAGCAGTGAAGGTAAAAGGTAAAGGCTTTTTTTCTGTTAGCATTTTTAGTTTCAGTGTGCTAGTTGTTGTGCTAACCTGCTGACAAATTCTCACAAACGATGCCAGACCTAAGATAAGGAGATAATATCAGCTCGAGGACGGTGATGTGGATGATTAATAAAGCTTGAAATCCAAGTCGAAGCTTCTCACACGAACCTGGACAAAATAAACCCAAATATACGACCTAGAATTCATTATTTATGTGGAAAATTCTGATGTTAAACTTTGACATCTTCCATCTTTAAGGTGTTTTCTTGTTGTTCAGGCAGCAGCATTACTCATTATTTATGTTTTTTCTAGTTCAGAATCACCAAAGTAGCATCGATCAGTTGATGTACAGTCGACTGTGTGATCTTATCTGACAATTTGTGCATTTTTCTGTTATTTCTGTTGATTTGATCGAAAAAAACGCCTCATATGTTTGATTGAACAAAACCCCATCAACAAAGCTGGTTATTATTAATAATAATAATAATAATAACAATAATAATAATAATAAAAAAAAACTTTATTTGTAGAGAACTTTTCAAAACAAATGTTTCAAAGGGCTCTCCAATAAAACTAAATTAATATTGAAATAAAATAAACACACAAATAGAACAAGAAGCTATAAAACATACAACTGAAATAAAACCAGGGAAAACTCTCTGATGAAAATGTGTTTTAAGAAGTTAAAAGAACGAGTTCTTGTCGTTTTGATGCCACAGATTCCTCTTTGTTTCCTCTTTCTTTCCTCTTTGGAAAGTCTTTGAGCAGCTATGAAAAGGAAAAGACGGACTCCAGTGGATTCTGGACCAGTTTCCAAATTCAGCCTCGGTAGTTTTTACACAAACCTGCTGACCTTGACGACGGGGATTTGGATTCTTAAACCTCTTGAACGTTGACGTCTTGTCGGTCTTTTGTGAGTTTTCTTGCAGCAGGATGATTAAAAGCTCTGAAGAGCAGCAGGAGCACGAATTTAAAAAGCAGTTGATTAAAGAACGGCGTCTGAACAAACAGATGTTTGCTGTTAAGGTCGTAGATTATATTCACAACTTCTTCTCTTTGCATTTGAACAAATGAAAACCAACTTTTTTCTCCAAATGAAACATCCATGTGTTAAACTCTGCCTGACATGACGACAGTAAACTGAAGTCTGATGAATCGGCAAACAAGTTCTCCAAACATTATGTAAAGGAGTTCCTGGTGTGTGTCATCGTCAGCTGGCAGCTTTCCGTCCATCTGAGTTTTGTTTGTTTGATTGCAGCTGTTTGAACCTGGATGACTGCCGGACGGTTTGATGGAATGAAATTGGAATCTGTATAAAGAATGACGATGATTTTAGTGATTTAAAGTAGATTTTACACAAACAAATGTGAGGCAGACGTGAGAGGAGATGAGAGGGGAGCAGCCTGTGGTGATTTTGAAAAGCTTTCTTAACAATTAGGGCTGCAGATAAACATTATTTTCATTAAGCTGCTGTTTAATTTTGATAAGTTTTTTGGTTTAAACTGACAGAAAATTGTGAAAAATGTTGATCAGTATTTGAAAAAGTATTCAGTTTACTGTCATAAAGGAGGAAAGAAACCAAAATATATTCACATTTAAGATGCTGGAATCAGACACTTGAGACTTTCTTCCTAAATAGTTACTCAAACCGATTATCAGTGAACAGAAGAGTTTAATTTAATGGTTCACAGCTGATCGATTGTAGCTTTTGTAGCGTTTGTGTCCAGACTGAACATGAGTTTAGTGTTTCTGAGAGAAAGAAAGAAAGAAAATAAACTAAATTTAAAGACATCAGTGTTGACAAAGAGTCGATTCACATTTTTTAAAAGGCACCTTGAGGTTTGTCGTCTCTAAAAGTTGTGCATTAGATCAAAACGAGGACTCACAAGTTGAGCAAAAGCACATTTAAGAAGGTGGAACAAAGCTTTCTGCTCGTGTTGCATAAAGCTCCTCCCTCCTACTGAAGACTGCCAGCTAATTATCTTTCTGATGCAGTTTGACGTGTCGCTATGCAGCCGGTTTAATAAGCACACGGATCCTGTTCATCAGCTGCTGTGGAAACATTACGTTATTTATTCTTGTGGCTTCTTTTGCAGCTTATTTGAAATGCAGAATTCACTCTGCTGCAGGTTTATCACAGCTTTACACAGCAGCTCTGCAATAAATGACAGAATCTGTATTTTCTGAGGCGTTATCACACATTTGTATTAATCAGTCTCCTCGTGTGACTCTGGGAGTTTTCCTTCCTGCAGACAGAGCATCGCTGTGCCAAGTTTACGCCACAGTTTTCTGACTCTAAATGATTAGGCGCCGCTCCCTGTTCAAACACGTCGAATCCAGCTTCTGTTATCTCTAAATTCATCTCTTACGTCTCCGCTTTCGCTGCTCTTTGCAGGAACTCTGTCCGTCGCCTGAGTTCATCGTGAACGGAGCGACTCGCCTGGACGTCCGTCAGGGAAAACTCAGTGAGTATGAAGCTCCTGTAGCACAACGCACCTCTTTCACATGTCACCTGCATGATAAGAACCCAAATAATCACACCTATAATATGTATTTTTACTTAAATTACAAATAGAATCACCAGGCAGAGAGTTAAACAAGCCACTGTCAGTCCATAAACACTGTTAGAAAATAGGATTATATCACATTACAGCAGCTGTGAAGGAGTTTTTGAAGCAACAGCTGATCCTCGTGAGTAAAAGCTGATGCACCTGCAGCTGATGAAGGACGACACTCGCTGCCGACAGCCTGATGGAGCACGTAAATCACTGATTATTCTGGGTCTTCCTGCTCCGAAGCATCACGATATGCACGATTAGTTCATGCACAGAGAACGCAGTGAGCCCAGAAATGTTTGTGTTTTTGTTGATTTCATGAACATAAATGTCAAAACTGTAAATGAAACCTCAGTGAACAAAACTTGTGGTGCAAAAAAACAAAAAAAATCCCTCTATGCAGGAAAAGTTCTGCTTTAAAAAGAAAAGAAACAGAAACAGAAACAGCTGCACACTCAGGAGCCGTGAAACCGAAGCAGGGTTTTACTGAAATGCAGACTTTAATCGTCTCTGTTTCCAGACGACTGCTGGCTGCTCTCCGCCATCGCTTCCCTCTCGGTGCATCGATCCCTGCTGGAGAAAGTCGTGCCTCTGGAGGAGAACTTCCAGGACGGATACAACGGCAGCTTCACCTTCAGGGTAAATACTGAACTCTGCTCTGGAGGCGGCTGTCGTCTTCTCTCAGGTTTGAATAGGATCACGTTCAGCTGCACCAGAACAGGCTCAAAGAAAACAGCCAAAACAGGCAAAAGAAACTTTGCATTCTCCTGAGTGCGTAGGCGTAGCTCCCGTCTAGATGACAGTTTGTGTTGTCGCTGCCTTTACATGACCTTTGAAAAGCTGATGAAAGCAGAACATCAGTCCTCCTTCAAACAAACACAGACACGAACACACTGACTTCTATCACACGCTAGATTGATTACTGCAGAAATAAAAACACATTACACCAACTTTAAAGTCTCTGCACTGCTCATATGTGTCTTTTAGGTTTGATTTTAACATCATTTCATTCATTTGTAAAGTTCTTAACAGTCTTGGTCCTTCATATTTATCAGATTTGCTTTTAGTGGCCTTTAAATTAAACCAAAAATCAGAACAAAAACCGACAGAAATGCAGCGTTTTGTTACTGTGGTCGGCAATCTGTCGCTCGAGTCGGGTTTTTTATTTTATTCACTTATTTACAAATTTGTAGTTGATTTATTGTATAATTTATTATTTTAAAAAAATGTATTCTGTTTTTGGGAATTTTGACTTTTATTTTGTCTTTTACTTATCTATTATTTATATTTTAATTCTATTATTTTAATTTTTTAATTTTTTTAAATTTTTAATTTATTAAATTTATTTTAATTTGTGTATTTAATTAATTTTAATTTGTGCATATAAATATATATATTTTTTTGCTATTATTTTATCAGGTGTTTTCTCATTGTCTTATCTATGACAGCGTTTCCTCAGGTCTTTCTCAGTCCTTCATTTATGACATGACATTGGGCTTTTCCTCTGCATTGTTTTATTGCATTTTTCTTGCGTTCGTCTTTGTGCAGCGTCTCCTTTGTGTTTTTTATTTGTGCAGTTCTGGCAGTACGGTCAGTGGGAGGACGTGAGGATCGACGACCTGCTGCCCACTCAGGACAACGAGCTGATCTACCTCAACTCGCCAGAAAAACACGAGTTCTGGAGCTCGCTGCTGGAGAAAGCCTACGCCAAGTGAGTCCCCGTCACTCAGTGAGTGAGTGAGTGGTGGTTAATCACATGCCGTGAAGTGTGGCACTCGTCCAACGGCCACTTCAAAGAATAACTCTCATTACTGAAACTTATCAGGCCGTCTATTCTCATGAGGCAACAGATCCTTTTAATTAAACTGTCATGAGTTTGTAAAGCTTCTGGACTGAACTTTTCATTGTGTTTACTGGAAGGAATTCTGAAACGAGGAACGCTGTTAGTTTTGCATTGACATAAGTCTGGACCAGGTTTACAGCAAACGTGTCCTCAGACAGACGTCGCTGTTGGTGAAGGCCATGAGGAGGCTTCACACGTGCTCACAGAACTGGATTAACTGCTATTCACAGCCCCTTTCTGACACGCGCTCTGAAAGCGAACGTGGCGGCGCTCGTAAAAGTCTCAACCTGACGATGTCGGACCTTCACATTAACAGACAGATGCAAGCAGCAGCACTTTGAGCTGTGTGAGGGGATTTAAGGAGGAGATTGTTCCACATTTCAGCATCAATATTCATCCCAGAGAGCACAAAAGACACATTAGAGTGCCAAAATCACATCACACTTCATGTACTGAGGCTTTTTTGTTTTTATTTAGCATTTATTTAACCGGGTCAGTCCCACTGAGATCTGAACTCTTCTTTACGAGGGAGACCTGGTCAGCGTAGTCACATCAGAAACCATAAACAACAGATGACATTTAACAACATTAAAACTTGCTCACATAGAACACTTGTGCACAGACTGCAGTGATTTGACCCGAACTTTAAACTCATTCAGTGTAACGAGGGCTTGGAGTTGAAGTTTCGATAAAACCTAAATGCTTTCGTGCCCAGTTCAGATCGTACTTTGCAGAGTGTCCAAAGATCAGAGATTGTGACTTCAGTGTTTTCTTGTTAAAAGACGAAGAGGACAGAACAACACCCAGAATGGTTCTGTAAATAATCAGACACCATGGCCGAGACTTAAAGATGTCCAGTTAACTTTAGAGTTTATCGCCCACTTTGCTCTACAGTTTAAAATCTATTGAACTACAGAATGAAATGTTCAAAATAATGAAACCTTAAACAGCTTAAACACTAATAAAACTCACTAATAATGAGTGTAGTCTGAGTTTTCGTCCTCACAAGATGTTAACAGGAGCTGAAGTTTGTTGTTCAGCTGCTTGGAGTTGCACACGTTTAGTGGAACAACAGCCCCGATAGCTTTATTAAATCCTGTCACACACAGAACAGTGGTTTAGTTTGTCGCCTCCAGCTGTTTAGGAGTGTTTCCTCTGAGTTTATTACACACTTGGATCGACAAGCTTCTCCAGAGAACAACAGCAACAACTTCATTAGTTATAATTCTATGTTTTCCCCGACCTGGAGACAGGATGGATCAGGATCTAACAGCAGTTTATCAGCTGCAGCTAAACATTTTGTCGCATCATCTTCAGGTGGAGTCCTGAACTTTCATCTTTCACTGTTTCCACATTAAACGAGGCTGCTGTTAGTTTAAAGTTCGTCTTTTTATTCACCAGCTGTTCTGTCTCTGACTGTCTGGTGGATAATTTGCACATCTGTCAAAATTTGGTAAATAAAAATTAGCACTGAAACTACAAAATTATGCAAAAATAAAACATCGGGAAGGTTTTTATCTCCACATAGTTTTTCCATCTACTTGTACAAGAGCATGTATGTAAGCGAACAAACAAAATTCTTCAGATTTTAGGAAGTTAGACTCCTCTCTTGGCTTCATCGACCTTCTTAGTTCAGTTATTCACCTGTTTACCGCCTCTGTGTTTTCATCTCAGGCTGAAAGGCGGCTACAGGGCTCTGGACATGGGCTTCCCTCACGAGGCCATGGTGGACATGACGGGGGGAGTGACGGAGGTTCTGAAGGTGGCGTCGCTGCCCAGAGAGCTGCCGGCGTTCCTCAGACACCTGCTGGCCAAAGGGGCTCTGATCAACTGCGCCGACTGCCAGGTAGAGCGAGGAGGTTCCCGGGGAGCCTGACGTGTTTGGTCTAGTGTAGATATCTGGAGCATTTCACTGTATGTGTGAGTCATACAACCTTTTCCTCGTGTCATGACTGATGCTGTTTCCCTCCAGGGTCCTCTGGAGCAGCAGAGCGAGCTGGGGATCATGTACAGACACGCTTACTCTCTGACTGCCGTCGAGAAGGTACCTGTCCACAAACTACTCTCAAAAAACTGCTGAGATTCACAGTTTGAACACGTTAGAAGTGTGGATCCCGATAACAGTTTAGTGTCTGGCAGCAGCAGGAGTCTGATCCGTCTTCAGGCCATGACCGTGTTAACCACAACGCTGAGTGTGTCAATGTGAAGCTGTAAAAACCAGAGTTTGTTTGATCCTTCATGGCCTGTTCGTCTTTGTTCTCACCTGTCAGGTACAAACGGCTCACGGCACCGTAGATCTGGTGCGAATCCTGAATCCTTGGGGCAACACGGAGTGGCAGGGGCCCTGGAGCGACCTCAAAGGGTTGGTGCTCGCTTAGATGTCAGCAAAACAGTCACAAAGGCAACGTTTTAGTTTTAATTGGCACAAATAGCTGCTGTGTTGGTTGGACTTTTTCTTCTCTGTTGGCTTCAGTTTCTCCCTGAAACGTGAAACTATTTATTCAGCTGTTTTTTCTCAGTGATGGAACTCTCCGCGGCTGATTATTTTACAAAACAAACAGAGGAAAAAGAGTCTGGTGGAGAAGGAGACTCAGTTTAATCACCATCTGAGAAAAGTCAGTCTGGCGCCTAAATCATCAAAATAATCCAGGAAGTAACCGACTTTACCTCGTTCACTGTTGGATAAGAGTGTAGTACCGTAGTATCCAGACTATTGAGGCACCTGAATATAAGCTGAATATCGCACCCACTAACTTTAAAAAGAAAACCAGTTGTGTACATATACGGGTCGTACTTGTCTATAAGCTGCACATATAACATAAATGCTTCTTTCTGAACAGGGCCTGTAACACGGCTGGTTAAGGAAATAAAAACTACAGCAGCCTACCAGGAAAAGTCATTGATCGCTATCTTCATCTTCCTCCTGCGCACTGAAACCACTAAAGTCGTCTTCTTCAGCCTCAGAATCACTTCATCACTTCCTCAGTCTCTCTGTCGTTGTCGCTCTCAACGTCACTTTGGTCTCGAGGCAAATTTGTAAAAATCCATAAATTAGCCGCATCATCGTTTAAGCCGCAGTGTTCAAAGCGTGTGAAAGAAGTAGCGGCTTATAGTCCGGACATTACGGTAATGACGAAATTTTAAATCAGCCAGTGAGACTAAGAGAATTTCTCTGTGTGATGGTGAGTGTAACAGCCATGTTTATAACTGGCTTCATCACTATTTCCCAAATTTAAAGTCAAAGTTGAATAGGTTAGGAACAAAACTGGCTTGTACAGAAAACTCATTCACTCACTAATGACCTCACAGCTGGCGTACAAAGTGCTCGCCTGCCTTCATGAGTTCAGTTTCTTGCTCAAGGACACTTTGGCATGTGGAGGAACCAGAGATTTAACCTGCAATCAGCAGACAGGCTGCTTATAGCAAACAAACAGAAAAAAGTGCTTTCATGCACGAGTTAGTCGGCAAAAAACTTTGATTCAAAAATAGTTAATGCATCTTCACTGATATCACTTTAGATTTGTTGGGTTTCTCTGTTTGAACTTGGTTAGGTCGTCTCCTTTCTCTGTGAGGTGACGTGTTGGGAATCAGTTAAACTGACACCAGTAATCTGTGTTTTCATTCAGAAAATGTCTGATGCCATTTGATTACAAAAATATGTGCAAATTTGTTTGGTACATGTTGTTTTTGTAGAAGTTAAATTTGGGGGGAAAATATGCTATTGCTTTATAAAAAAAAAAAAAAAAAGATGATGATGAGTGTTACAATAGCAAAGCTGGAAAAATGTCAGGACATCCGTAGAAAAATATAAAACGCAGGACGGTTGATTTTGTGCATTATGAGATGGAAACACGTTTGTGGTCGCAGGCCGGAGTGGAACACGGTGAGCGTGGAGGAGCAGCGGCGACTGGGCCGAGTGAGGCGGGAGGACGGGGAGTTCTGGTGAGTCTCACGTCTTCGGCCGACGCTCTTCGCGTCCGCCTTCTGCAAACAAAGCATTCGGCTCTGAGCGGCGACAGAAGCCGGCGAGCAAACAAGTCGGGCTTAGCTTTAGTTTGTCTCACGTTATTTTCTCATTTGTCAAAGAAACACAAACACTGGAGATGATTGACTGAGTGCTGCCAAAACCATTCAAACTCACTGAACTCTTTAGAAACAGCAAGTTCTGGAGATGCAGTACGAGTAAAGGCACACTCCTACTCATGCTTTATGATCGCCAGCTGACCCAGAACTTACAGGAGAGCATCACAGTGTTTTGGGTACAAACTATGTGCAAAATCCTGCACTTTGTATTCTAGGAGTGAGTACGAGATCCGGTGTAGAGTGGTCCTCTCCATTCTCATGGGAGGGTATGGATACACTTGAGGATGACTGTAGTTAAAAGAATTATTATTTTGCGCCTTGGTTTTCAGATTATTTAAATTATGCTGCAAAAATAAAGGAAAAAACGAATCGCTTCACGTCGTTTCTCTCTCTTCCAGGATGTCGGTGTCAGACTTCCGACAGCACTTTGAGATTATGGAGGTTTGCCACCTGACCGAGAGTCTGAGCGAGTCGGGCTCCAGCGTGTCGCCGTGGTTCTGCATCATGCATCACGGCACCTGGGTGCCGAACGTCTCGGCCGGAGGTCCTGCTCAGAGCGGTGAGACCAAAGATACGGGTTGTTTTTCTTTGTAGCACATTAGTCACCACTCAGTTACAGTTAATTTTCATTTTAGGGCAATTAAACCCTCAATCAGTGCTGCTGTGATTCTCTTTAGTTGAACCACAACACTTTTCTGTTCAGTTCTGTTCACCTGTTAGGATTCATTTAAGAGCTTTTGATTGGATAAAAGTTCAGTTCTGATCAAATTCAATTGACTTTACAGGCATCAAAGTCACAAATAATCAATAAAAATACACCAAATATATGACAGAAATAAAAAAAAAAAACACACATTTGTTGTTCATTGATGAGAAAAACAACAAAATAAATGATTAGAATCCAAAAAATAAATGAATATAAATACATTATAAATAAATAAAGATCTGTGAGATTTAACATTATATAGTTTACGGGCAATTAATAAGTAGTACAGCAAGTTAATTTCTACAGGAAGTAAGTCAGTTAAATGCATTCCTTTTTTAGAACAGTACAACCTTTAATAATGTTGATAATTTAGAAAACAATGAATGTTTCTGTGCCGTTTTTACGTCTCACCAGCAGACACTGATACCAGTCAGGACGTTATTCTGTTACTGCTTTAAATATGAAGTGAGAGGCGTCTTTACTCTAATCTGTTCCCACGTTTGACAGTGTTTGGCATCCAAACAGCTTTTATTTGAATGTTTTCTGTCTGCGGTCGTCTGTTCTTTGTTTGCACATTTATTGATGTAAACGAATCAAGTCAGAAATAATCCTCCTGGTTGATTTACATCCCGTCTGTTTACGCAGCGCCGCTGATCTGCTCTAGGATTAGTTCTCAGCTTATACTAAGTTTGGACAAGTTTATTTGTATCGTAGCAGAACGCGGTATGTCACCGCTGTCAAACATGAAGGTGTGGTCAGATTTCTTTTATTTATTTTTTTTGCAAATCTACTCAGACAAAAGCTCCCATTGAGACAGTTGTGGAATGAAGTAACGGCAAACTGTGCAGCAATCAACACATTCAGGATCCATAAACTCAACGTGTTTGTGTTTGTCCAGGTTGGTTTTCGAAGAACCCCCAGTTCTACTTTGTTCTGTCGGAGGTCGACAGCAACTCAGGGAACTCGAAGAAGACCTGCTCCTTCGTTCTGGCTCTGATGCAGAAACACCACAGACGCCGAGGCATCAACCTGTCCGCCGCCCTGCACGTTTACCCGGTAAGCAGTTATCAATCAGCTGAATGACATGTTGGAAACCAAACAAGACCCAACAATCACAGAAACACTTCTTAATGTAAAACAGGAGACGGCCGTAAAGGAACAGGTCTTTGGTCTGATATTTCTAGTTTTCTACTCTGTGTGTGTGTGAATGAACTGATCAGCAAACCAGGACCCAACATTAAAACTATTGATGTGATTCCTGCATCACCAGCTGAACACATGTCGGGTTCTGTGATGCTACAGTTTGTGATGCTGTAGCTGCTCGGCTTCATTCAGGGGATTTAGTACCATACAGGTCAACAGCTGTATCAGTCAGAGAGAATCATCAGCAAACGATCTGGTTAAAGGGAGACGCTCCTTCCAGACGAATTAAACCTGATCCTGCTCCGGACCAGGCCAGCGGTGCATCATCAGTTACCATGGTGACAGAGCAGGTTAAAAGAGAGCCACCTGAAAATTCTGACTTTAAGCTCAACGTACCTGCAAAGTCACTCCGGCAGTTTTATAATCGTTCACATCTTGAGGCCTATGAGTCATTATGAACCTTGTCATAGTACCATCAAAAAGTATGGATCTAGATATTAGCGCACGATTCTAGCATATAGAAATTGTGGGTCAGAGCCTGGATAGCTCAGTTGGTAGAGCATCAGACTTTTAATCTGAGGGTCCAGGGTTCAAGTCCCTGTTCAGGCGGGACTAGTTTTAAGATGTTTAAATAGTTAACACACTGATAGTTCTCATAGTTTAACGGTAACAACTGGAGTTCCTTGAAGACGTTCCACCTCTCATCCAAGAGGCTTCATCAGTTCTGACTGACTAGTTAGGAGTTCAAGACACTTATATCCGTAAGGAGCCATTAATACGAGTTTTGATTAGATGTTTGTTGGTGTTAGTGCTCCCCCTGCCACAATGGGGTTCGTTAGGGTCTTTTGTGGCTGGGTGTGGATGTGGTTTCATCTTCCTGGGGCGAGATCTTAGGACTGAGTTGCAAACAGGTGAGAGGTGATGCCTCAGACCTCCACCTCTGTTGAGTGATGGTCTTTCCAGTTTGACATGATGGTCCAACACACTGATTGGTAGTTGTCAGCTCCAGTGTGGTCATTGAATGCAGCACAAACCTGTCAGCGAGCATGTTCTCACAACAAGAACAAACTCAGAGACAAATAGAGCCTGAACAAAGCCTGCTGAACTACAG